TAAATCTGAACAATCTATTATTTAATCTAACAGCAAGGGATGGTTGCAGAAGAGAAAAAGAAAGGAAATACTGAGAGGATCCAGGTCCACTTGAATTAATCCTTATTATCTTGGGGCCTCTGATCATCGTGTCAGTCAGAAATTTTTTGGGAGCAAAACCAGCGGGGAAGCATTTTTTAGGTACTGACATTTTTTTTTTTTTTAAATGTGAGCATTTCACTTGATATGTTCAATAATTGAAAGTATTGGATCCAAAAAGACACATAACTGGAATTAAAAGCACAATCTAAAATTAATTAGAACTAGTGACAACTATTAGGTGATCAAAATGTCAACCTAATATATAATAATTGGGTCTTCGATAAGCTTTACTTAAAAAATGAGAGCAATTATCAATTTAGATTACTTTAAATTTAAATTAACTCATCACGAAATTTCTTCAATTATATGAAAAGCAAAATTACCTGTAACTTATATTATTCATAAAAATTAATTAATGGTGATTATATTAGTCAATCTCTGCGTACTACGGGCTTTAAGAGTAATTTTATAATGAGCACTTTTTTTTTTGCCAAATTTATTATGAGTAGTTACAACTTGTTTAATTTCCAAATTTCTGAATCCGGCTCTTAATTCTAATTCTTTTTTTTTTTTTTGGGTTTGCCAACGTCTTAATTCTAATTCTACTACTTTAGAATGCAATACTACTTCGGATATTCGTATTGACTACAAAATCAATTACTTTCTTTTTTGCCAAAAAATGCAATCAATTATATTATTCACATTTTATAGATAATAATTATAGTATAGGCTGGTATACGTTTTGTATTCAACATTGATAATAATTTTTTTATTGCTTTTACATATTCTTTTGAATTTGCATTTTTCAGCCTGAGTTTTCCGGATTTACTAGACCCTCATTTGAGCAAAAAATATTTCATAGTTTAACAATTGGAACTTGAAAACTTTTAGATAGATAAATACAAAAGAAAACATTTTACATAATAATCTTCATAGTGAAAAGAAAATTTTCTCTTTTGCATATGTCAATCTGGATTTATTGAAAGGGTTGCGGAACATGCATATACTGCGCTACTGCCTAAATGGTTCCATAGTATTGATGACATACAACAGTGATTTTGGGGGTTAAAATTTTTTAATTAATTTTTATTATTTTTATTAGATTAATATAATTTCTTGTTTTTAAAATTGGTTTTTATTTTGGTTTTAGTCCTTCAAGTTTTAAATCATAGATTTTGATCTCTTAAATTTTTTTTTTTAAAACATTAGTCGTTATAATTTAGTAAAAATTAGACTATTTTGTCTCTTGAAGGACTAAATCTTATAATTTAAAACTTGACAGATTTAATTTAAAATGAGTACAAACTTAAAAAACTAAAAATTATATTAAGTTTTTTTTATCTTATATTTTTTCTTTATCAAAATTTTAAAACACCACTTCCCTCTTTTTTTCTTTTTTTTTGTCGAGTTCATTAAATTTTCCGGTTCCTCACCTTCCCCTTCATTTCCCCGCGCCAAACGTATAGGTAAATTACTAATATACCGAATCCGTACTCTTGTTGACAGTGACGGGTCTTCTTCTCAAGTCAAGGACCCAGCCAGCCATGAGGCGTCCCCCCCTTTTTTTTTATTAATTGTGAAAAGCAGTCGGGCGTCCTGATGGGCATGGCGACAGGGGAAAGCTGAAAGCATTGGATTCCAAAAGACAGCCAACTGGAGTTAAACTTTTGCCTGTAAATTCCACTTTACTTACAGAATCAAATATCAATATCTAGCAATCTGTGGGGGTTATCGCAGCCATGGCGATTCAAGTTTCAGCACCATCCTCCCATGGCGTCGCCCGGGAACCAAAGTATAGATATGATGTTTTTCTGAGTTTTAGAGGCGAAGATACTCGCCATTCATTCACTGTCATTCTCTACAATGCTCTGCACCGTAAGGGGATCAACGCCTTCATTGATGACAAGAAGCTTGGCAAAGGGGAACGGATCTCACCGACGCTTCTTAAAGCCATAGAGAAATCTAGGATTTCGATTATTGTGTTTTCTATGAACTACGCTACTTCCACATGGTGTCTGGAGGAACTTGCTCACATCATTCGGTGTAAGAAGGAGAAGAACCAGATGGTTATGCCAATATTTTACAAGGTGGATCCGATAGATATCCAATATCAGAGGAATAGTTTTGAGAAAGCCATGGTTGCTCATGAAGATAGGTTCAGAAATGACTTGGAGAAAGTGCAAAGATGGAGGTCTGCTTTGTCTGAAGCGGCTAGTTTGTCGTCGGCTTGGCTTTTCAAAGATGGGTAGGTTTCTTTCTATTATTTTCTTTATAGTGTTATGCTGATAGAATTTTCCAATTCTTAATTAGTGGTTGCTGACGATGCAACACGTACTCTCTTTAATATATTTGAAATTTTGATCGGTAGCTTCTACTGTTGCACTTGAAAATGTGAATGAATCCTTGTAAACTTGGGTTTTAAGAAATCGAGTAGAAGATATGTTAGTAAACAGAGTACCTCTTGTCATTGAGAGGTGTACCTTTTTTTTGGGGTGAGGGTGTCTGAATCCAGTTCATATTTATAATAATTCTGCTTAATTTGAAATACAATATAATTGTGGACATTCATACATGAATATAGAATAATTAGCTTTCGGAGTACGCTATCTTTTGTATCACAGGAATGATGGATAAGCTTCAGTATTTGTGGGGATTGGTAAGATTTTATAATTGACATTAATGATGATATGTTATTAGTTTAATATTTGAAAAGCATACTTTAGCTCCTCTGGATTTACATTTTTTTTGTCTATTTCTATTTGGCCGAGCAGCACATATTTTTAAATTAAATATTAAATAGAAATTGTATGTTTTTTAAAATACTTTCATGCTATCAAAGGATGAAGATAATAAGAGAGCAACTTGATGCATATTGATGTCATCTTAAAAGCATTACAATATAAATTGTATATTTTTTAAAATGCTTTCATGTAATCAAGGGATGAAGATAATAAGAGAGCAAATTGATGCATATTGATGTCATCTTAAAAGCATTACAATATAATTTTCTTTTAAAAAATGAAGCCATTTTGCATGAATATCGTCATTTTAAAAGTAGAAAATTTCCTTTTTGTAGATATGAATTCGGGTTTATTGAAAGGATTGTTGAAGATGCATATTCTAGGCTGCCTCCTAAACGATTCCATAACATTGATTACATGGTTGGACTTGAGCCTCGTTTAGAAGAAGTGATGTCACTTCTGGATGAAAGTGATCGTAGCGTTTGTATGTTGGGGATTCATGGAACTGGTGGGATTGGCAAAACAACCCTTGCCAAAGCTTTGTATAATACAATCTTCTACCAATTTGAAGGTGCATGTTTTTTGTTTGATGTTAGAGAAGCATCAATGAAACATCATGGCAATGAGGGCATTGTTCGTCTTCAACAGACGCTTTTATCAGAGATTCTTGGGGAAAAGAGGATAAAGTTTAGCAGTGTTGATGAAGGAATATCTATACTAAGACACAGACTCTCACACAAAAAAGTTTTGTTGGTTCTTGATGATGTCGATCAACCTGATCGGCTAGAGCAACTTGCAGGAGGGTGTGATTGGTTTGGTTGTGGAAGCAAGGTGATCATAACAACAAGAAATAAGCAATTGCTAATTGCACGTAATGTTGAAAAGACATATGAAATGATGGGGCTAAATGATCATGACTCACTTGAACTCTTTTGTTGGCATGCCTTCAAGTTGAGCCAACCTCCAAAAGGATATCAAGATATGTCAAATTGTGCGAGCAGATATGCACAAGGCCTTCCTCTGGCTTTAAAATTAATAGGCTCCAATTTGGCACATAGAAACTTAGAAGAATGGAAGTCTACATTGGAACAATATGAGAAGATCCCAGAAAGGACAACTCATGAGATCCTAAAGATGAGCTATGATTGCTTACCAGATAATGCTAAGCGTATTTTCCTAGATATTGCTTGTTTCTTCAAGGCAAAGACATTTGTATACATCGAAGACATGGTAGAAGCTTGTGATTTTGGAAGGTTTTATTTTGAGGTGCTTGTTGAAAAATCTCTTATAACTATTTCTGATAATGGTAAGTTGGGCATGCATGATCTAATACAACAAATGGGTAGAGAGATTGTTAGGCAAGAGGCACCATCAAATCCTGATAAACGCAGTAGAATATGGTACTATAAAGATGTTCTTAAATTGCTTCGTGACAATTTAGTAAGTATCTAAATCTTGTCTACTGCCAGTCATGTGATTTAATTTATTAAGCTATTTGGCCATGTCTAACACTATAATATTACTTATGTGGATCTGCATTATAGGGAAACAGTAACATTGAAGGAATAATGCTTGACCCCCCTCAACAAGAAGAAGTGACTTGGAGTGGTATAGCCTTCGAGAAGATGAATAATCTTAGAATTCTTGTGATTCGGAATACACAATTTTCAACGAACCCTAAATATTTACCGAATAGTTTAAGATTGCTTGATTGGGAGGGATATCCTTCTGCAAATTTACCATCAGATTTTTCTCCCAAGAAACTAACTTCCTTGAGGTTATGCAATAGCATATTCAGACTGGAAGAGCCATTCAAGGTACCTTGTTTAAAAAAGATTTTATAATTGTTTTCTTGTCAAATTTCTTTAGCTGTTATTATTATTTTTTTTTTTGGGAAATATCAAGTGACGTGTTATTCTAATTTATGAGAATCTAATATGGTTGCAAAATTGGACAGCTCATTTTGTTTTATAACTTGTTCATATGTTAATAGTTACTGTTGATTAATTATCTATTTTTTTTTTTTTGGCAGAGGTCTGAATTCGTGACGCACATGAACGTTTCACATTGCCAATTCATAACTGAGGTGCCTGATATGTCTCAATTCCCAAATTTAAAAAGCTTGTTGTTTAGAGAGTGTTGCAACTTGATCAAGATGCACCATTCAGTGGGATCTCTCTCTAAGCTGGTCCACTTGGATGTTAGTGACTGCACCAAACTTACAAGCTTTCCACATGAAATCAACCTGCCATCTCTTGAAGATATTAATCTTAGCCGTTGTAAGGGTCTTGACTATTTCCCGCATATAGTGGGAAAGATGGATGCCTTAACCGATATTTGGGCTGAAGACACTTCTATTAAGGAGCTCCCACATTCCATTGGAAATCTTACTGAGCTCGAATGTTTAAATTTAAGCTCTTGCAAAAGTCTCAGGGAGCTTCCAAACAGCTTATTCACATTGCAAAATCTCAAGTGGCTTGAGTTGAGAGACAGTCACACTCCTAGCAGAAAATCTTTGATGAAATTAACGCAAGAGAGCCTCCTAATTATTAGCTGTGCAAACATCAAGTTCTTGAATCTTGAAAACTGTTGTCTATTGGATGAAGATCTTGCCTTAGTTCTGAACTTTTTTCGGGATTTGCGAGAGTTAACTCTATCAGGCAATGATTTTGTGTCCCTTCCTGAGTGCATCAATGAGTGTGTTGAATTGTTGAAACTGGAAATGGATAACTGCAAGAAGCTAAGAGACATACCGAAGTTGCCATCAAAGCTAAGAGACATAAAGGCAGAGTTTTGCACATCATTAACTGCCAAATCAGTTGGTCATTTATGGTCTCAGGTTTGTTTCATGTCATTTCTGTTCCCCCTTTCTTTGTTATGTGATAGACGAATCAAATTAAATACATTTGCAGCTAGTAAGATAGCTATTGGTAATTTTCATTTAGGATATAGATACATTTTTCACCCTCTGTTTTCCCAGTACAATCATCAATTCATTTCTGGACCTCTGGTCACTTTTTCCCTTTAGTATCTAGTCAGATTTATTAGTCCATGCCCATCACAGCCCCTCTGTTGCTGCAGCAGCTTCTATTATTATCATTATTACTATTATATTTAGATCCTTTCCTTAAAATTCTTTTAAATTGTTGTTCTAGCTTCTCTGCTATCAATTTTCCTAATTTAATGTTCAGGTTAACTGATTGCTGTGTGTATCTTATTGCATTCATGTCACTAGTTTAGGTAACATCACGACTGTGTTGAACTTTTTTGCTTACTTGTCACTAGTTAATTTTTGAATGCCTAACTTGAAAGTGCTCTTCTGTTAAGAATGAAAATAAAAATTTTACCTCCATTCTTTCATTTGTTGTTTTCTTTTCAAATCTGAAATCCCCTTTGGTCTCTGTTCTTTTGGTAAATCAGGTCAAGAATGAAACCAATCTCTTCAGAATATGTATGCCAGCAACAACATTTCCTGATTGGCTTGACGATTGTTGTAAAGGAGGAGCATTGTCTTTTCGTGCTCGTGGGAATTTCCCTCGTGCAGCCCTTGCATGTGAGTTGGGGAAAGCAAACGCGAGCGGGAGACACTTCTTCCATGTTTCTGTGACCATCAATGGTCATGAAATACTAAGGAAAGAAGATTTAAACTATGGGAGTACACAAGGTCATGTGTACTTCTTTGATTTAAGATGGGCTTTTGACCTACCGGAGTGGAAGAGGCTTGATAGGTATCTGATATTGGATTGGAATGATGTGGAAATGCAAGTGAAATGTTTAACACCAAATATGCCTGTGGTTAGCTGTGGAATTTATGTGTATAAACAACACACAAACATGGACAATTTGCAGTTCAAGTCTTCTCGGCTTTCCATGAAGGCTCCAACATCTTCACTGAAACGAAGAGCCACTTCTCCTCCTCCTAATGAACCACCCAACAAAGTTCCTGAGAAAGTTCAAGGCTGCTGATAAAAGAAAACTCAAAATGACTCAAAAAGGGACAAGGTCAGCCTCAACTTTCTACTAGTTGTTATTTCAATTTTCAAGGCTTTTGTTTGTCACTAAGTTTTTTGCCTTACATGTACTGTAGGAGAATTAGACGACGCCGAACTTTTCATTCGTGTTACAAGAGTGTTTCCTACCGGTAAGCATGTCTGGAGTCTTGTATTACTGGCTATCAAATATTAAAGAAAAGGACATTGTTTTCCCCAAACATGATTATTAATTTCAATGAGCTGAGTAGTCTCTCTCTCTCTCTCTCTCTCCCCTTGGTTTTTTGTTTTTAGTTAATTAGATTATCGTTCTAAATTGGTTATGTGTTTTTATGACGAATGGGACAGGTCAACCTCTACATTCTTGAATTCTACTACAGTTTGAACAATTTTTGAAACTAATCCTTGTGTCCTGCGCATAAGCACATGCTGTTAGTTCTGAGTGATAAACATTTCCCATGTGTGGTAATGATAATTTTTGTTTCCTAACCAAGGATGCATTTACTTAATATTCTTGTTACAAATATAAGAAAAGTTATGCATTATTTCTTCAATCCCCCTGTTTTGGTAAATAGAAAAACAGAGCCTCGTGAGACTTTTCATATCCCCCCATGAAAAATTCCATTTCCTTTTTCGCCAGAAAAATTCAAATTTTATTTCAAACTTCAGATTTGTGTGGGTCCGTGAGTTTATGGGTTGGGATTTTGGGGCCGTGGGCCAGTGAGGCACCGGCCTCAGGCCCCAAAAAAGTTATCTAATATCCCTATTATGGATTTGTGTCATTGAGTATTTATCAAAAATGAACATGTGGTACGATATATGGTTTGTTGTAAATTTTTTTGGTAAAATCTTACGATCTAATGATATGCATGTAGATATTATGAATCATTTGAAAAGCCTTATTACTCGCTACCTACCGATTCACATAACTAATTTATAGATATTAAGTAAATTAGTTAAATTAATTATTTGTAATAAATGTATCTTATAAATTATTTTATTTAATGATATGCGTTAGAACTACCTCTTAATTGGGAGTTCACTTAATATGTACAATCAATAGGAACGTTTTAGGTAAAAAAAAATTATAAATTTATGGGGATAAAATGAATTAAAATATTATATTTAGGATCAATGTAAATCTTTTATCTAACTCTTGCATTTAGGACTGAAGGTAGCATTTGAAGATTTACTGAGAAAATGGTTTTGCTTTGCATCTACTTTTTTTACAAGGAAAAATTGCTATTGAAATGAACATAGCGCCTTTCATTAAAAAAAAAAAAACGCGTTAAATGTTAAGGAACATTTTAATGAAAATATTAGTGATGATGTCGTACATTTTTATATTAAATATTTTTTATACATTTCATATCAATTTCTTTTTTTCTGAGAATTGACTAGAACAATACAAAACCATTTTTTGTTTTTTATTTGAATTCAAAAATTTTAAAATTTTGGATGAGGAAGAATTGAAAAGAATTTGAAATATCCTTGAAAAGTTCTTAAGTTTTAATGACCGTTTTAGTATAGGGTTAAGATGTATCTGGCACCTTAAAATATTATGTGATGCATTTAATACTCTAAAGTATTTTTTTCAAATGCGTCTATTACTGTAAAGTATTTTTTGGAGTATTCAGCAATTTTAAATATTTTTTTAGATGCGTCTAACATTTTAAAATATTTTTTGGTGTATCAAACACCAAGACAAAAAGTATATTTCAGGGTATTGGATGCATTTGAAAAATACTTTAGGATGCTAAAAACACTAATATCCAAAAAAAAATATTTCTGGATGCTAGATGCATCTTAACTTTTTTTTTTTTTAGTATATATGGTCTTTATCTATTTTATAAATTAAAAGTATAGCAAGAATTGTTACAAGAAGGAATTAATATTGACCAGATCGAAATATTAAATTAAATCTCATATATATATGTTAAAAAAGAAAAAGTTAGATACATTTGCCAAATGTTTGCAATATTGCTTATAGAATATTGCTAGGATAGTAATTCAAATAAGTCATGTCAAATGTGATCCTTATAAAGCAATAGAAAATAAATGAAAAGAATTTGAAATATCCTTGAAAAGTTCTTAAGTTTTAATGACCATTTTAGTATAGGGTTAAGATGTATCTGGCACCTTAAAATATTATGTGATGCATTTAACACTCTAAAGTATTTTTTTTCAAATGCGTCTATTACTGTAAAGTATTTTTTGGAGTATTAAGCAATTTAAATTATTGTTTTAGGTGCGTCTAACATTTTAAAATATTTTTTGGTGTATCAAACACCAAGACAAAAAATATATTTCAGGGTGTTGGATGCATTTGAAAAATACTTTAGGATGCTAAAAACACTAATATCCAAAAAAAAATATTTCTGGATGCTAGATGCATTTTAACTTCTTTTTTTTTATAGTATGTATGGTCTTTATCTATTTTATAAATTAAAAGTATAGCAAGAATTGTTACAAGAAGGAATTAATATTGACCAGATTGAAATATTAAATTAAATCTCATATATATATGTTAAAAAAGAAAAAGTTAGATACATTTGCCAAATGTTTGCAATATTGCTTATAGAATATTGCTAGGATAGTAATTCAAATAAGTCATGTCAAATGTGATCCTTATAAAGCAATAGAAAATAAATGAGTGAGATGAGTCTACTATTAACTAACTGAACGCATATATTAAAGAAAGTGAATGAAAAAAGAAAGCAAGCGCTCGTTAGAATTTTTTGTGATTCAATTTACACAACATAAATCATCAGTATAGTCAAATGTATAAGTAAAACACAGCAATTATGATGAACAATAATTTTCTCAAAATACAGTTTTGACAGAATAATCTAAACATGGATATGGATTTTCTCTTTACCTATTCTGTTATTATTTTCGAAACTTAACACGCGTTAATTTGGTTGCTGCTGTAATAAATTAGGCTGGCCCTCTGAATGGGTCAAAGCTTTCATAAGCATCCATGCTTGGCAATAAAATGCCACGAGTGCAAAATGATGTTCCCTTTTTTTTCCCCGGGGGGGGGGGGGGGGGGGGGTTTTCTAGTATACAAGGTCACGCATTGTTTCTCGGTAATCTACCAAGTGATTTTTCATAGGACTAGTTGGAGGGACTTGATAAGGGTTTGGAGTGGAGAAATATCACAAAAAGAACCATAAAAATATTAAATCTCGAATCGGTCTTGTTTCATATACTTTAATAGGTTTTGACCATACTTGACAAAGAAATAAGAACACATTTTTTTAGGACTTCCTCATTTGGGATTTTGTATGTCCCAAGTTTTTTTGATGAGATTTTCCCTTTTGGATTTGAATTGGAATAATGTGGAAATATAAGTTATGTGTAAAAGTTACTAGATATTTCCATAATTAAGGGTGGAGCTTATGTCGATAAGAACCAAACAAATGGGATTCTAAGTAGAAAATCAATTTTAGGCCTAAACCATGATTTTAAAAATCAATTATGAGACCATCCACCAACCACACATAATCAAGGAGTGTTTGGATATTTTTCTTAAAAAAACCATAGTTTTGACCTTTCAAATTCTATTTTTTTAAAAAAATTATACTCAGAATCTTGCAAATCAATTTTATAAATCTATTACAACCAAATATATTCTCAAAATTATAATTATTAAACAATTTTATTCAAAATCTATTCTCTAATCTAATCCAAACACATCATGGGATTCCCCTTATAAAAATGGCACACCAGCTGGTTTTTCTCCTTTTTATTTTGAAGTGATCATAAAGGGTATATCTTTTTATTTGAAATGGACATGCCTATGAGCTATGTCGAAGTATGCGATGCCTTTTGGGTGGGAAATGAAATGCAAAAGGGAATAATATATTATTAGAGCATTTTTTCCTGCATTGTATATGTTTAGTCCTTACATTTCTCCTAGCTGTAACTATGAGCTGTCTCTCCTTTTTGAGTGACATGTCTTTTCACTTCTAGCTATAACTTGTTTGTATCATTTGTTAATGTGAGTACAATTGAGTTGATGTGGAAAATTTTACATTTTGGATAAAATTAGGCCTAGTAATATATATAATAAAATAGAAAGACCCATAAATTTAAGTGATAATAAGGTTTTGAGTTTAAATATAGTGTTATTCATCCTTCCTTGTCCATCTGTTATTTCCCTCCATTTTTAGACTTCACTCTCTTTTCCCAACACTCTTCAAAGAAAATTAATTAATAGTCATTAATAATTTTTGGGCCTCTAATTGTGTCAATCATTTCAGTATCAAATAAAGCAGCTAGGCGTTCGTTTATGCTTTTTTAAAACGGGAGTGCATCCTAACTTTGATACTTTCAATGATTGAAAGTATTGGATCCAAAAGATATGCACGCAACGCGCAAACTAAAATTAAACTAGTGCCTAGCTTTCTTCTGTTCAACTGCATATATCCCATTTGGTACTCTCTGTTCCTTTTTTTTTTCATAAAAGAAAATAAATCTAATCAAGTTGTTCCAAGTGTTGGTTAAAATTAGTTAAAGATAATACCTATGTAAAAAATTTAACTTTTTTCTCAAAAAATACCCTCGTTTATGCGGAAGAGAGAGAATGTGTACGAATTAAATACAATAATTAGTAATATGAGTAATTTAAACGGCGTAAAATGAGAAATCAAAAAAAAAAAATTGAGACAACATCTAAATGTCTTTTATAAAAAGAAACATGCTCTTTTCCACATTTGTCTCTTATTAAAAAAGAATAGAGAAAGGAAGATATATTAGAACTAATACCATTGTTGGTCCTTATGTTTTGATCAAATTTTAGTTTTGGTCCCTATAGTTTCAAATCATTAGTTTTAGTCCCTATACAATCAATGATTTGAGTCTACAGGAACCAAAACCAAAATTCCATCAGACTATAAAGACTAACAAATGATATTAACCCTATTTATTATTATGGCAGCTAGAATTTAGAGGCCTTGTGCTTTTATGACTATGGCAATCTGAAAAAACTTCATGATCTGGTGAATGCATAAGATATTTTTTTTTTTTTTTCATAATTTGCTAACAGTTCGGGAAGGGATAGGAAAGAAAGAACTGATACATATTAAAAAAAAAAAAAAAGGTAAGGACACATTAGTTGGGACGTGTTGAATTATTTCTTCCCCTCCAAAAAAACCCCACTTTTGGAGGGGACTGGGGAAGGGATGGAAAAGGACAAAAATTTGTCTCCCCTCCCATCCCCTCCTTCCAACCAAAAGCCATCTATAACTCAATCTTCTGCTATTTTGAAGGTGCTTGTTTTTTATTTGATGTCAGAGAAGCGTCAAAGAAATATCAGGGTGTTGTCCGCCTTCAACAAACACTTCTACCAGAAGTTCTTGAGGAAAAGAAGATGAAGTTCGGTAGTGTTGATGAAGGAATATCAAAAATAAAGCATAGACTCTCTTGCAAAAAGATTTTGTTGATTCTTGATGACGTTGAAGAAGTTGAACAGTTAAAAGTTAGAACAACTTGCGGGGGGGGGGGGTGTGATTGGTTTGGTTGTGGAAGCAAGATCATTATAAAAAGAAACAAGCAATTGCTAGTTGCACACAATATTTAAAAAAAAACGAAATGAAAGAGCTGAAGAGCAATATTCTCTTGGACTGTTTTCTTGGCATGCCTTTCCAATGAGCCACCCTCCAGAAAGCTACAGAAGTATGTCCATTGGTGTTACAAGTTATCTACGTGGCCTTCCTTTGGCTGTAAAATTGATAGGCTCCACTTTGAGAAATGGAAACTTAACGGAACGGAGATATACACTACAACAGTATAATCAAATCACTGGAAGAAAAATACATGAGATACTGAAAATAAGCTATGATTGCTTACAAGATGGTGCTAAGCGTATTTTTCTGGACATTGCTTGTTTCTTTAAAGAGAAGAATTTGGAATATGTTGAAGACATACTAGGAGCTTGTTATTATGGGACAAGGTTTTATATTGAAGTTCTTGTTGATAAATCTCTAATAACCGTTGCTGATAATGGTCGCTTGCACATGCATGATTTAATACAACAAATGGCTAGAGAGATTGTTGAGCAAGAGGCACCCTCCAATCTTCGTGAACGTAGCAGGTTATGGTATTACAAAGATGTGCTTAATGTGCTGGAAAATAATTTAGTTAGAGAAAAAAGTTATCTAGTTCCTTACATACATTAAATTGTACAAATTTGACAAATTATCTAACAATGTCACTTTTTTGAACTCGTATTATAGGGAGGAAATGATATTGAAGGAATAATACTTGATCCACCTAAACAAGAAGAAGTGATGTGGAATGGTTTGGCCTTTGAGAAGATGAATAATCTTCGAATTCTCATTGTTAGAAATACCCAACTTTTAACAAGTCCTAAATATCTTCCCAATAGTTTGAGATTACTTGATTGGAGGGGCTATCCTTCTATGACGTTACCATTGGATTTTTCTCCTCCAAAACTAGTTTGCTTCAAGGTATATGGAAGTCTTTTCAAGATGGAAGAGGCATTCCAGGTACTTTTTTCACTCATTTTGTTTACTTCTTTCTATCTTTTTTCTTTGATCTAATTGCTTGAGCCATAATGTTCTCCTCAGAATAAAGAATAAATAACTTTTGTATTTTTTTTTTAATTATCTGTATGCTTTCTCACCTATTTCGGATTTTTCAGAGATTCAATGCAAGATTAGATAAACCAAAGGGAGGCTAAAATATTCTGTTCAAAATATAATATTTTATTGATAGTCGCTATTAATTAAATAATCTTTTTTTTTTTTTGGCAGAAGTTTGAATGCGTCACATATATGAATTTCTCGAAATGTGAACTCTTAAGAGAAGTACCGGATATGTCTCATGTTCAAAATTTAAAAACATTAAGCTTTCGTGAATGTCGCAATCTGATCAAAGTCCATGATTCTGCGGGATCTCTTCGTAAGCTAATATTATTAGATGTTGGTGAATGCACCAAACTTAAAAGCTTTCCATGTGAAATCAACATGCCATCTCTTGAAGATCTCATTCTTTCTGACTGCAAGAGTCTTAACTACTTCCCACATATAGTTAGAAAGATGGACGCACTTAACAGTATTTTTGCAGATGGGACTGCTATCAAAGAGCTCCCACCTTCCATTGGAAATCTTTCACGGCTTGGAACTTTGTTTATAAGCTCCTGCAAAAGTCTTAGGGAGCTTCCAAACAGTTTATTGATGTTGCAAAATCTTAGCACACTTGCGTTGGGAGGCATTCAACCTCGTGGTGGAAGAAATTAATGCAAGAGAGCCAACCATTGGTTAGTTGCACAAACATTGAGTTCTTGGAACTTGGAAACTGTGGCCTATTGGATGAAGATGTTTTAGAATGTGCAGCACTTGGATCTATCAAGAAATAATTTCGTGTCACTTCCTAAGGGTATCAAAGAGTGTGGTAATTTGAGGGTACTAGAAATATATAACTGCAAGAGGCTAAAAGACATAACAGTGCTGCCATGGGGGTTGCATGACATAAGGGCAGAGAATTGCACATCATTAACAACTGAGTCGTTAGGCCATATGTGGTCTGTGATGAGCATAAGCCACGGGAGAGAGCCCAATCCCAAAAGACTAGCCTATTGGGAGGGAGAGCCCCTTGAACTCATAAATCCTACAACACTCGTGAGATTCCCCAATGTGGGACTCATAACAGAGCACCCCTCTCAAGAGCCGACGTCCCCGGCAGCTCCACTCTACGGCACTTCACTCGGTCTTCTTACTAGTCAGAACTCTTCGTAGGTGGCCCTTTCCGGTTGGCCAATTCTCAATAAAAGCACCAATGTAATGAGCATAAGCCTAAGGGGAGAGCCTAATCCCAAAAGACTAAATGTGATGAGCATAAGCCCAAAAGGAGAGCCCAATCCCAAAAGACTAGCCTATTGGGAGAGAGAACCTTTTGAACTTATAAACCCCATAACACTTGTGAGATTCTCCAATGTGGGACTCATAATAGAGCACCCCTCTTAAGAGTCGACGTCCCCAGCAGCTTCACTCTACAGCACTTCACTCAGTCTTCTTATGAGTCAGAACCCTCCGCAAGTAGCCTTTTTCGGTTGGCCAACTCTCAAAGAAAGCACCAATGTGATGAGCATAAATCCAAAGGGAGAGTCCAATCCCAAAAGACTAGCCCATTAAAAGGGAGAACTCCTTGAACTTATAAACCCCATAACACTTGTGAGATTTCCTAATGTGGGACTCATAATAGAGCACCTTTCTCGCTCTATGGCACTTCACTCGGTCTTCTTACCGGTCAGAACCCCCTAGCCCTTTCCTGTTGGCCAACTCTCAATAAAAGCACCAATGTGATGAGTATAAGCCCAAGGAGAGAGTCTAATCCCAAAAGACTAGCCTATTGGGAAGGAGAGCCTCTTGAACTTATAAACCCACAACACTTGTGAGATTCTCCAATGTGGGACCTATAACAGAAATGTGATCAGCATAAGCCCAAAGGGAGAGTCCAATCTCAAAAGACTAGCCTATTAGGAGGGAGAGTCTCTTGAACTTATAAACCCCACGATACTTGTGAGATTCCCCAATGTGGGACTTATAATAGAGCACCCCTCTCGAGAGCTGACATTCCCGATGGCTCTATTCTACGGCACTTCACTCGGTCTTCTTACCAGTCAAAACCCTCCGCAGGTAGCCCTTTCTAGTTGGCCAACTCTCAATGAAAGCACCAATGTGATGAGCATAAGCCCAAGGGGAGAGCCCAATTCCAAAAGACTAAATGTGATGAGCATAAGCCCAAAGATAAAGCCCAATCTCAAAAGACTAGTCTATTAGGAGGGAGAGCCTCTTGAACTTATAAACTCCACAATACTTGTGAGATTCCCCAATGTAGGACTCATAACAGAGCAACCCTCTCAAGAGCCGACATCTTCGGCGGCTCCACTCTATGGCACTTCACTCGGTCTTCTTACCAATCAAAACCCTCTACAGGTAGCCTTTTCCGGTTGGCCAACTCTTAATAAACGCACCAATGTGATGAGTATAAGCCCAAAGGGGGAGCCCAATCCCAAAAGACTAGCCTATTAGGAGGGAGATCCCCTTAAACTTATAAACCTCACAACACTTGTGACATTCCCTGATGTGGGACTCATAACAGATCACCCTTCTCGAGAGCTGACGTCCTCAACGGCTCCATTCTACGGCACTTCACTCGGTCTTCTTACTAGTCAGAACCCTTCGCAGGTAGCCCTTACCGGTTGGCCAACTCTCAACGAAAGCACCAATGTGATGAACATAAGCCCAAAGGGAGAGTCTAATCCCAAAAGACTAATCTATTGGGAGGAAGAGCCTCTTAGACTTATAACCCACAACACTTGTGAGATTCCCTAATGTGGGACTCATACCAGAGTACCACTCTCAAGAGCCGACGTCCCCGGTGGCCTCACTCTACAGCACTTCACTCGGTCTTCTTACCGGTCAGAAACCTCAGTAGGTAGCCCTTTTCGGTTGGCCAACTTTCAATGAAAGCACCAATGTGATGAGTATAAGCCCAAGGGGAGAGCCCAATCCCAAAAGACTAGCCTATTAGGAGGAAGAGCCTCTTGAACTTATAAAACCACAACACTTGTGAGATTCTCTAATATGGGACTCATAATAGAAATGTGATGAGCACAAGCCCAAAGGGAGAGCCCAATCCCAAAAGACTAGCCTATTAGGAGGGAGAGCCTCTTGAACTTATAAACCCCATAACACTTGTAAGATTCCCTAATGTGGGACTCATAATAGAGCACCCCTCTCGAGAGCCGATGTCCCCAACGGCTCCACTCTACGGCACTTCACTCGGCGTTCCCACCATTCAGAACCTTCCGCAGGTAGCCCTTTTCGGTTGGCCAACTCTTAATGAAAGCACCAATGTGATGAGCATAAAGCTAAAGGGAGAGTGCAATCCCAAAAGACTAGCCTATTAGAAGGGAGAGCCCCTTGAACTTATAGACCCTACAATGCTTGTGAGATTCCCCAATGTGGGACTCATAACAGAGCACCCCTCTCGAGAGCCGACGTCCCCTGTGGCTCCACTCTACAGTACTTCACTTGGTCTTCTTACTGGTTAGAACCCTTTGCAGGTAGCCTTTTCTGGTTGGCCAACTCTCAATGAAAGCACCAATGTGATGAGCATAAGCCCAAAGGGAGAGCCTAATCTCAAAAGACTAGCCTATTGGAGGGAAGAGCCTCTTGAACTTATAAACCCACAATACTTGTGAGATTCCCCAATGTGGGAATCATAACAGTGCACCCCTCTCAAGTGTCGATGTGCCCTGAGGCTCCACTCTACAACACTTCACTCGGTCTTCTTACTGATCAGAACCCTCCGCAGGTAGCCCTTTCCGATTGGCCAACTCTTAATGAAAGCACCAATGTGATGAGTATAGGCTCAAGGGGAGAGCCCAATCCCAAAAGACTAGTTTATTGGGAGGGAGAGCCTCTTGAACTTATAAACCCTTGACACTTGTGAGATTCTCCAATGTGGGACTCATAACAGAAATGTGATGAGCATAAGCCCAAAGGGAGAGCCCAATCCTATAAGACTAGCCTGTTAGGAGGGAGAGCACCTTGAACTTATAAACCCTACAACATTTATGAGATTCCCTAATGTGGGACTCATAACAGAGTGCCCCTTTTGAGAGCCAACGATCCCGGTGGCTCCACTCTACGGCACTTCACTCGGTCTTCTTACTAGTCAGAACCTTCTGCAGGTAGTCCTTTCCGGTTGGCCAACTCTCAACAGAAGTACCAATGTGATGAGCATAAGCCCAAGAGAAGAGCCCAATAAAAAAAAGCTAGCCTATTGGGAGGGAGAGCTTCTTGAACTTATCAACCCTACAACACTTGTCAGATTCCCCAATTTGGGACTCATAACATGGTCTCAGGTTTTTCTCATGTCTTTGATAATTTTCATTTGTCTTGTTGGGCTTTATAGCTATGACAGGGATAAACTTCTAGAAATCATGTCATAATTAGAACGTTTCAGCATTTTGTGATGTTTAATAATTTTTTTCCATCTAAAGACATTTAGAAAGATAGGAGATTAAGTTATTTGATATCTATAATTATAAAAAACGTACTACTCTCTTCCAATCGTGAATGTAGGAACTAGTTAGGGATTTAGATCTAGCCCTTAATGTAAGACTTAATCTATTTTATCTCTCATATTATCAATTTTCTAAAACTTATTTGTGTAAATTATAAACCGATATACAATCTAATGTTATATAGTAATAGATATCATGTCAATTTTTTTAGAATTAAGTAATTTATTGAGCTTTCTTAATATTCTCAGTTAACTAAACAGTTTTAAAATTAAGGACCAGATGAGTAAATTGGAAGTATTCTTTTATGTGTAGTTCTCAAATCTGAAAACACCTTTGGTCTCTACTGTTTTGATAAATCAGGCAAAAATCTTCTTCTGTAAAGGAATTGGCATGCCGGCAACAAGTTTTCCTAATTGGTTCGATTATTGCTGTAAAGGAGGCACATTGTCTCTTCGTGTTCATGGGAAAACTTTCCCTCGTCTTGTCGTTGCAATTGAATCAGGGAAAACAAAGACAAGAAAGAGGCTTCCCTTCCATGTTTTTATGAGAATCAATGGTCATAAAATGTCATGGATAGAAAGTGATGTTCCTTGTGAGCCTGATACAAGTAAAGAAGGTCGTGTGTTTCTCTTTTTTGGTAAGCAAGGTCATGTGTTCTTATTCGATGTACTTCAGAATTTTCTTGAAGAAGAAATGAAGGGGCTTAATAAGTTTCTAGAATTGGATTGGAATGATGTTGACATACAAGTTATGTGTAGCTCAGATATTTCCATAATGAAGTGTGGAGTTTATGTGGATAAGCAGCAAATAAGCATGGAGAATATTCGCTTCATGGCTCCTACGGTTTTCATGCATGCTTCAAGGACTTCACTGAAACAAAAAACCATAGCTTCTCCTCATAATGAATCAGCCAAGAAGCTCTTGAGACATTTCAAGGCTGCTAATAAAAGAAAACTCAATAACAAAGCGTCAAATTAAAGTGATCTTCTATTTCTTCTACTAATTGTCATTTCAATTTTGTGCTTATTATTAATATTGTTTCCCTTCCATGTATTGTAGGAGAAGAAAACGATACCAAGTTTCGTGGGACAAGATGTCTTGTCCAATGGGCCCTATTGTTATTTCTTTACTATTAGATCTCAATATTGCAATTGGTGCCCTGTTAATTAACAAATGATTTGTTTTTTTGTTCTGAATCATGAT